TTGTTATTCAGTACTAACAGCTCTTTATGTAGTGTAGATATATGTTCTTCATTGAGTATATGATTTACATGTATTTTCTCCAGTCTTCTCATTCTCTTTCACAGTGTCTTTCAAAGAGTCCAGGGTATCAGCTTTTTTTCTGATGTATCATGCTTTTTTGTGTGTGAAATCTTTACCTGACCTTAGGTTATGATTTTCTCCTATGCTTCTAGAAGTTTTATATTTTCAGATTTTACATTTAAGTCAGGTCCAATTTAAGTTAATTTTAAAATATGGTACAAAGTAGTTTGCATGTTTTTTTCTTTTTGAATGGATATTTTCTTAGCTATTTGTTGAAAAGACTATCTTTCCTCTATTGAATTATCTTTTTACTTTTGTGGAAACGTGTTTATTTCCAGACTCTATTGTACTCCATTGTTGTATCTATTTTTATGCCAATAGCACACTGTTTTCACTATTGTAGTTTTATAGTAAGCTCTGAAATCAAGGAAGGATAGTTTTCCAACTTTGCTCTTTTGTAAAAGTTGTCTTTGTAGTGTAGATTCTTTGTATTTCCACATGAAGTTTAGAATCCATTTCCACATCAAAGCCTCCTGGGATTTTGATTGGAATGGCATTGATATAGATCAGTTTGGGGAGAATTGGCATGATATCCATGATTTTTCAAACCTGTGAACATGCATATGTCCCTTAAAATTTTTTTCAGCAGTGTTATGTTTGCAATTTATAGGCCTTTATACAGCTTTTGTCAGATTTAGCTCATAAATATTTTATTTATTAGCATTTATTAATTTGACAAAAGAACAGGTCTTATTATGAATATTTTATATATTTGATGAAGATCCATTGAATTTTCTACATAGAAATCATATTAGTTTTAGATAAAATAGTCCAGCCTCAATGCTATTGTTGCAAACCCCCCACCCCCAATTTGCTCCTTCCCCTACCCTACCCTTCCTTGCTCTGTTCCCTGCAACTAGACCCTTCAGTACACTGTTATTTAAAAACAGTAGGAGTGGACTTTCTTTTGTCTTGTTCCTGATCTTAGGTAGAAGGCAATCAGGTTTTCATTCTTGTAGGGTTAGTTGTAGTTACTTGTTAGTTGTAGGGGTTTTTGTAGCTGTCCATTATCAGGTATGGTATCGGCTACTTGGCTGAAGGATTTGTTTTTTTGTTTTCCTTTTTTTAATCAATCAAGAATGACTGTTTAAATTTTGTCAACAGATTTTTTTCCTTATCTATTGAGGAGATCATAATTTCCTTTTTTTTTTAGTTTGTTGCTATGTAATGACACTGATTTTCAAATTTTAAATTAATTTTGCCACCCTGGGATAAACTCCACTTGATCATGATGTATTATACTTTTATATATTATGATTGCTTAGCTAAAATTTTGTTAAGAATTGGGCTTTGCATTTGCAAAGCAGGTGCTCCACTGCTTGAGCCACACCTCCAGTCCACTTTGCTCTGATTATTTTGGAGATGAGGTCTCATGAACTATCTTTCTGGCTGGTCCCAAACTGTGATCATCCCAATCTCAGCCTCCCAAGTAGCTAGGATTATAGACATGAGCCACTGGCGCGTGGCAGGATTTCTTTTCTTGTAATATACTTTGTCTGGTTTTCTTTTTTTTTTTTTAATTGTTTTATTATTCATATGTACATACAAGGCTTGGGTCATTCCTCCCCCCTGCCCCCACCCCCTCCCTTACCACCCACTCCATCCCCTCCCTCTTCCTCCCACCCCCTCAATACCCAGCAGAAACTATTTTGCCCTTATCTCTAATTTTGTTGAAGAGAGAGTATAAGCAATAATAGGAAGGAACAAGTGTTTTTGCTGGTTGAGATAAGGATAGCTATACAGGGAGTTGACTCACATTAATTTCCTGTGCATGTGTGTTACCTTCTAGGTTAATTCTTTTTGATCTCACCTTTTCTCTAGTTCCTGGTCCCCTTTTCCTATTGGCCTCAGTTGCTTTTAAGGTATCTGCTTTAGTTTCTCTGCGTTAAGGGCAACAAATGCTAGCTAGTTTTTTAGGTGTCTTACCTATCCTCACCCCTCCCTTGTGCGCTCTCGCTTTTATCATGTGCTCAAAGTCCAATCCCATTGTTGTGTTTGCCCTTGATCTAATGTCTACATATGAGGGAGAACATACAATTTTTTGTCTTTTGGGCCAGGCTAACCTCACTCAGAATGATGTTCTCCAATTCCATCCATTTACCAGCGAATGATAACATTTCATTCCTCTTCATGGCTGCATAAAATTCCATTGTGTATAGAAACCACATTTTCTTAATCCATTCGTCAGTGGTGGGGCATCTTGGCTGTTTCCATAACTTGGCTATTGTGAATAGTGCTGCAATAAACATGGGTGTGCAGGTGCCTCTGGAGTAACCTGTGTCACAGTCTTTTGGGTATATCCCCAAGAGTGGTATTGCTGGATCATATGGTAGGTCTATTTGATTTTTAAGAAGCTTCCAAAATTTTTTCCAGAGTGGTTGTATTAGTTTACATTCCCACCAACAGTGTAAGAGGGTTCCTTTTTCCCCGCATCCTCGCCAACACCTGTTGTTAGTGGTGTTGCTAATGATGGCTATTCTAACAGGGGTGAGGTGGAATCTGAGTGTGGTTTTAATTTGCATTTCCTTTATTGCTAGAGATGGTGAGCATTTTTTCATGTGTTTTTTGGCCATTTGAATTTCTTCTTTTGAGAAAGTTCAGTTTAGTTCACTTGGCCATTTCTTTATTGGTTCATTAGTTTTGGGAGAATTTAGTTTTTTAAGTTCCCTATATATTCTGGTTATCAGTCCTTTGTCTGATGTGTAGCTGGCAAATATTTTCTCCCACTCTGTGGGTGTTCTCTTCAGTTTAGAGACCATTTCTTTTGATGAACAGAAGCTTTTTAGCTTTATGAAGTCCCATTTATCTATGCTGTCTCTTAGTTGCTGTGCTGCTGGGGTTCCGTTGAGAAAGTTCTTACCTATCTATACCTACTAACTCCAGAGTATTTCCTACTCTTTCCTGTATCAACTTTAGAGTTTGTGGTCTGATATTAAGATCCTTGATCCATTTTGAGTTAATATTGGTGTAGGGTGATATACATGGATCCAGTTTCAGTTTTTTGCAGACTGTTAACCAGTTTTCCCAGCAGTTTTTGTTGAAGAGGCTGCTATTTCTCCATTGTATATTTTTAGCTCCTTTGTCAAAGACAAGTTGGTTATAGTTGTGTGGCTTCATATCTGGGTCCTCTGTTCTGTTCCACTGGTCTTCATGTCTGTTTTTGTGCCAGTACCATGCTGTTTTTATCATTATTGCTTTGTAATATAATTTGAAGTCAGGTATTGTGATACCTCCAGCATTGTTCTTTTGACTGAGTATTGTCTTGGCTATTCGTGGCCTCTTGTGTTTCCATATAAATTTCACGGTAGATTTTTCAGTATCTTTAATGAATGTCATTGGAATTTTGATGGGAATTGCATTAAACATGTAGATTACTTTTGGGAATATTGACATTTTTACTATGTTGATTCTACCAATCCATGAGCAAGGGAGATCTCTCCACTTTCTATAGTCTTCCTGTCTAGTTTTCTTATTGAGGTAGTAGAGTGAATTGGGAAAAATTTCTCCTTCAATTTTCTGAAAGTATTAGCATAAAATTGGTAATATTCTTTCCAAAGTATTTGGTATAATTCAGCAGTGAAGCCATATGAGCTTAGAGGGATTTTTTTTGTTGTTGTTGTTAGAAAGTTTGAAATTACAAATTTAACTTACTAATTATAGGGGTATTTAGGTTTTCTATTTATTTCTTCTTAGGTAAATGTTTTTTTTTTCCATGAGATTTGACTGTTTAATCTGTGTTGTTGAATAATTTATTTGTTTCCATTTAATATCTCCAGAATCTATGTATGCCTCTCATTTCTGATACTGGTAATTTCTCTTCTCCCCTCCCTCCTCTTTTTTTTTTCTCCCTCCCCCTTCCTCCTCCTTTTCTCCCTCTCTCCCTTTCTTTTTTCCTTATTAATCTGGCTGGTTTTTGTTTATCTTACTGATTTTTCTCCTAAGAGCCAGCTTTTGGCTTTGTTGATTTTTTTTTTTTCTCACTTGCTTTTTTGTTTTCTGTTTCTTTCTTCTAGATCTTTATTATTTCTTCTTTTTAAGTTACATTTGCTCTCTCTTTCACACTTTCTTAAGATGGGAGCTATAGCTTCATTGATTTAAGACCTGTCTTCTGCCAGGTGCCTATATCTCACACCTGCAATCCTAGCAACTGGGAGGATCGCTGTTTGAGGCCAGCACAGGCAAATTATTCTCAAGATCCCATCTCCAAAATAGCCAGAGCAAAATGAACTCTCCAGTTCATATATATTCATGAATATTTTTGGTGGTGATGAATATATTTGAGGTGTGATCCAGTACAAAGCCCTGAATTCACACCCCAGTCCCACCAAAAACAAAATCTATATTCCTTTCTAATATAGAACTTAATTTTCCTCTGTGTACTTTCTAGCTACATTCCACAAATCTTTTACATGTTCTGTGTTCATCTTCAGTCAGTTCAGACTGCATTTAGATTTTGCTTTTGGCTTTATTTTTGATCCAAGAGTTGTATAGAAGTATGTGATTTAATTTTCAAATATTTGAAGATTTTACAGATTTTTTATTAATTTCTAATTTAATTACATTTTTGTAATGAAGCATACTTGTTATGGCTTGAATTTTTTGTATTTATTGAGACTTGTTTTATGGCCCAGGAGATAGGCAATGAGGGTATTCTATAAATGTCAATTATATCAAATTGGCCCAAAGTGTTACGCCAAATTACAGCCAAGCATAAAAAGATTTAACTGTGTACCTGAAACCATTAACAAATACTAGTGTGGTACAATGGGTTGTAAGTATGAAATTTGTAGAATGAGTGTTAAGAATTATCTGCAGTTTTCTATGCTGAACTAATTTAGGTCAAACTATCATCTAATTATATTTTTTAATTTTTCTTTTAGGGACAGTATGGAAATTACCAGCAGTAAAAAAGTACTTACATTCCAATAGCCAGTATCTATTAGCAGCCATATTGTCACCTCAGCACTGTGGACAACTCCTTGTGAAGAAATCCTTCCATTCCATCTAGTTTTTGGGAAAACCTTGTGGATAAGTGGCTGTTTCATCAGTAAGCAGCCTTTGTGGTTTAGTTTTAAAAGGCTTTAGTAGCTCAGAAATACTCCTGATTTCACATTTCTACTCTAGATGGCAACATTGGACAGAAAATGCAATTACATAACCAATTTGTAGTGATTTTGGAACTGTGTTTCAAATGGACTGTTACAGACTGAAAGGTGTGAACAGCTTTGTATGTTTATGAAGGTTAAGGGAATTTAATACTTTTCCACAGATTCTTTTGTAAGGGGAAGAGGGAATGTACACTTTTTACAGCAGCAATATTTTGTATATTATGTTTATTTCATGTGGTGAATATGCAAGGCGGTACACTACGCACTGGACAGAATCAGAAATCCTCTGTTAATGTGGACTGGAATGTGATAGATGCTTGATTGTTTTGTTCTCAAAATGGTGTACTATGAAGATAAAGGTGAGGGAGAAGACAAAGCATGCCATATGTCCACTATCATTTTCTTATAGAGGGAATTCAAATCCCTTTTATCTATCAGATAATCAAGGGTACTTGATACAGCTTTTGAGTAAAAAGACTTTTTTTTTTTTTTTTTTTTTTTTTAGCAAAACCCTCCAGTTTTGTGGATTAAAACCTTTTTATAAAGATCATTTATAATACTGTTTTAAAATGTGAGGCAATAAGAATTACTTTATGTTGGATCTGAGGAATGTTTGGTAACAGTTTTATGTAAATGAAGTGATAATCCTCTTAAAATAGCAATAACTGAACATGAAAGCGTTAATTTTACCTTGTTTGAATAATCAGGGAACTTAATAAGTAATGTCAACACATTTTATAAATGAACCACAGAATAGTCAACATTGATCCAGTAATTTTATTTTTTAACATTAGAAGAATAATTGTTTTATATAACAAAATAGTTTGGGAGACTTTACATACCTTGATTTCAACTTTCTGAACTGGAAATAATGCCATTTATAAAGAGATGCTTTTATGTTTTTCCCTTTTTATGTTGGTTAATATACAGGTGATTAGGAAAATGCTTACTGATGAGGTTTATTCTGATCTGTATTGAAAGCATGAAGGTTTCATTTTAGATCTCCTTGTTTGTGAGCATGGCATATTTAATCATTATTTGAGACTGGCCTGTGCCTGATTGTATTAACTAAATTTGGGGATACTGCACTGGGCAGGAAAGTATGCACTGAGAATTTTCTAACCCCAGTTATTTAAGCATAATCTGAAAACATCTGGCCCAAAGGTAAGTTGCTATTTTCATCACAGTTGGCTGTGCCCAGGGAATAAGATGTATTCTTTATAATTGAATTGGTTTTTCTCACTTCTAACTGGAAACAAAACAGAAGGGGTGCCATAAATTTGAATAAGAGAACATACTATATGAGAGAGAGAGAGAGAGGAGAATATGAGTGTTTTAAGGTCAGAATAGATTTTTTTCAACGTCGTCAGTAGAAAATGGACATCAAGTTTTGGACAGATAAAGCCTTATTGTGATTGAAATGCTTATAGATTCTGTGCCAATTTTCCACCACTGTGTACTTTGTTGCTATTTAAAACTGTATCAACTCTAACAGAAGAATAAATTATTTGTGATTTTAATTTTCTCATTTGTTTCTTTAAATTAGATCTCTTTGACTCTCTTGTTTTGTCTGGAGACTGTGCTGTGGGTTTTTATATAAGTTAGTCCAGTATAAGCAGACTATATTTGTATTCTAGGACTTTATCAAAATTCTCTTGCCATGCCCAAGTTAATTAGAATTAACTGTTCAGTAATCAGCATGTTGTGTAGGCTGTTTGTTACAGAATTCTTTCTCAGAAAATGAAGTCCATGAGGCTATAATCAAGATGACTGAATTAGATAAATGAGTTGAGGAGACAAAATTGTACTGAACCCAACCTGGTGTAGATACGTTATCTCATTTAAAATAAGCTCAACTGACATTAAGAAATAATTTGTCTTGCCAACCCATCTTCTGTTGTCTTATTCTCCTTTTAATGGAAACTAAAATTGCAATTTTAATAAGCAGAATTTCCTCCAGGACTTTCTTCCTGGAGACTAGTGCATTTGCAAGGTTTAATTGTTTTATAACAGTCCTATTTTGTAAAAGTTTTTAATTGGTGGTGACAAAAATTACCTTACTCCTTTGATACCTAGTAGAAGAACAACTTTACTAGTAGCTTTCTACCAAATTTGACATTTCTATAAAAACTGTATATTGTAAAACTAAAAATTTCATTTTATCAAAATATTGTATAATAACTAAGTATACCATCCCATAAAATTCTGGAAGCAAAATATTACTAAGAAAGATCAGGGTGATTATTGATAAAACATTTAAAAATACTTAAGTGTGTTAGTTTTGCTGTTTGAGATTGTGTATTATTCTGTAACTTTATTCAGGTGGCATGTTATTTGGACTTTTTAAAATGGGATTTTCAGATATGCACCAAAGTGGAGAGAATGGATAATGAACCCTGTATTCCAGTGACCCTGTTTATTTACTTAGCAACTCACGGCCCATCTTCTGCATCCAGTATCATCACACACATTGCAGCAAACACCATGTTATTTAATCCCTAAGTATTTTAGGAAATACTACATGGTAAATACTTAGAAGAAGAAAAACAAACAAAAAACAAAACACTTGAGACCTTAAGGACTCTTCCTGCTCCTGAAATTCTGTATTTTCAGCATTAACTTGAGTTAGAAACTGAGAATCCATTAGCTGCTGCCTTTCCCTTTATTTAAAAAGTCATTTGTGTTAAATAAAAGATTAACAAATACCTTACACAAAAAGTGAACTTTCTTCATAATTTCTTCCTGTAAAGAGAACAGTTGTTAAAGGTTTAGTATGTTTCTCTCAACTTGATTTATGTGCATAGGAAACCATATATTGTTTGTTAGTTTAAACAAAAAGTAGAATCATACTATATGCTATTTTGTAACTTTTTTTCTTGGTTTTTTTTAAACTTAGAAATACCTTTAATGTTCTGTATTCCTGTGTTGCCTTTAATGTTTTACTGTTGCAAAACCACAGTTTTCATGAATTATCTGGAAGAGTTCTTTTCTGTATACTTTTAGAATATTGTGAGGCTATGGGCATTTATCAGCCTAAAAGATGTGACCTTGCTAATACCAGTCATATTAGCCTTGTTACTTTTTACCATTCTAGTAGATTTTTTAGAAATGTTATCTCTGCATTTAATTTGAGTTGTATTTGATTTTTTTGTAAGTTGAGAATCATTCAGATACTTAATGACACTTTTTTGGGGGGAGGTTCTGAAATGCCTTCTGATACCCTTTGTGCATTTCTCTGTGATATTTGTTGTGATGAGAGAGAATACATACACAAGCACACACACACATACATATATAAAAGTTATTTGCAAAGGTATAAAAAGTGACTTGCTTCTTGATAGGAAGAGAATTAATAAAATGTATTTTTACATAAAATGACTAGAATCTCAAGATACTTTCTTGTTGAAATTTAGAAGCCTTCTAATTGTTGCACCATCCTAATTAATCATCTCTGTAGCTGCCCAAAAGTACCTCTCTTGGATTACTAAGGAAAAAAATTAGGAAATCAATAGAAAATCTTGTCTTACTCTTTACAAATTCAAGCATGAGAAATAGAGAATGCAATCTAATTTTCATTAGTTCATTAAAGACCTATAAAATGGGATTGCTCAAGCTGAGGAATTTTTAAGAGTGAAAGGGGGAGTAGTTTATGCACAGACACATATACATGTATAAACAAACACATACTGTGCATTATATATTTGTGTATATGTGTTGATAATATGTAGTTATTTTGTATATGTAATAAATTTCTTTATTCTTCATTTATGTTTTCCTGATGGAGATTCAAGTTTAAGAATTTAGCTATGTAATAAATACATTTATGTTTAGGTGTTATAATCTTTTAACTCTGTTAACATACTATGAAGATTTTCATGATACCTTATATTATAAAATACTAATGTTAAAATAGTTGAATAAGAAACCCTGAGTATTCTGAGAGGTTTTCATCATTTCTCATCTGTTAGGGAATATTGATTATCTCCCAGTATTACTGTGTTTTCTTTTGAAAACAGCCCCATGTTTTGGATGGTTTTATGGCTCCTAGCTAGAGACATTTAACATCCTCTTGCAGCTTTGGTGTAGTCACATGACTTTGCAGCCAGTAGGATGTAACATGAAGTGATGCTTGCAGTTTCTACAACTCATCTTAGAAGTGTGGTCCATTTCCTGTTTTCAGTTTCCTATGGGCTTAAACATGGCATATTATTTTGTGGTGGTTGGCTATATAGACTTGGAAAATACTGTAGAAGTTGAAGGTGGTATACACCTATAATACCAGCTACTTGGGAGGGGGAGAATCCAGAGTTTGAGGCCAGCCCCAACAAAATTAAGGGAGGCCTTATCTCAAAAACAAAAATAAAAGGGCTAGGGGCATAGTTCAAGTGGTAGGCAAGCACAAGGCCTGGGTTTAGTGCCCAGTACTGGGGCAAGGGAAAAACTATAGAGAATGTTTTCTCTAGAAAACTCTTCTTACCACCTTCAACTTTGATGTGAGCAAAATAACACTTCTATCTTATTAAATAATTTGTTACAGCAGCAAAGTCTGTATCTCTAATACAGGGTCATGCAGTAGATGACCAGTTTTGATGCCCTATGACATAACCTATACGGAATCATACTTTTTAGGAATGAAGGCTAGTATATTATGTGTGTGGTATATCTAATAATCATTCAGTTCATATTCTTGACTAGTGGGCAAAATTTTTTAGTATTACAATCATCCCAGGCTTTCTATCATTTGAATGAATGAAATGTCACATTTAGTAACAGTGTTCTTAATTTGAAAGTATTGGTGAAATACATTTAGTATTTATAATCTTTCTGGCATCTACCTCGTTACGCATTTTGTAACTGTTTTCTACTTTCTTACAGATAATTGTAGACATAGGATGTCAAAATCTTAGGTTTTGTACCTTATTTTCTTTGGGTTTTTCCCTAAATGTTTCGTTAGCAATGAAAGGCTACTTTTGAATAGTGTCACCTTTCATATTTTGTACATGTGATCAAGTTGTATAACTTTTAAGACTAATACCACTGGACCAAAATATTGTTTAGTGCTACCATTGATTTTACCTTTTTTTCTATCATGGCTATACTAGGGAATTTTGTCTGTTAATGCTTAGTAAATTAAGAGCAAGGAAGTATGATCATGGCTTTCTTTTCACTACTAGTATCATTCTACTCAAAGAAATGTTTCCTGTTCATTAATTTCAGTATTCCTTCCTTTCCCAAGATTTCGCTTCACAGCAAGCTTTCATACTTCAAGCTCTACATGTTAGTTCTCAGTCCTCATTCCCACATAAACACAACCATTTTGAAAACATGAACTGATATTAATTACCCCCTTGGCACCAAAAAGTCAGGATTTCCTGATGCGGCACGCTAATGTAAAATGCATTAGTGCAAATGCTGGCTCCAAGGGGTAATACTCTCTAAATAAACACAGCAATGTTTTTCTTTATTCACGACTCTCAGGCTATTCTGAAAGTCATTCATCCTCTGCACCCCCCAAAAAGCATTTTTAGTTTTAATAAGTTATAACTGGATTTTCATAAGAAGGAATTGAATTGCAAGCTGCAAATCAGTGGCACTTAACTCTTTTTTGGCTGAGTGAAATAAAATCTACCTAAATGTTCCAATGATTAAATGCCTTTGAACTTAATTTGCAGTAAATAACAGTTTATGTTTAATCATTGATATTACTAAAAAATGCATGTTTTATATTATGATTTAATGATTCCCTTAGAAGAATAAGAAGTTTGGTCATGTAAGGCCAGAAAGTATGTGTGTGATGAGTGTTTTGTTTGTTTGAGGTTATGTGTATGTTTAGTTTTGTATTTCAAGTAGGTTCTTAATTAAGAAGACATTATTTCATGCTTTGATATACTCTCCAAACACACAACTGTTGGTATTGCTGCTCCTCCTCCCACTAGTTGAAAAAAACTAAAAGAGAATCAAGTTAATGGTAGTAGACTCAAATAAGCTAAGCATTTTTATAGACTAAAAATGGAATAAAAATGTAAAATGGTGAGTAAAACTAAAACCATGGACCTTCCTGGCTTCTAAGTCTAGAAACAGGTGAAACTGACTGCTGTGGAGTAATGAAGACTAAAAATAAAACTCAGGGTCAGGTACTGATGCCAGTTCTGCTGTTTTATGGGGGAGCTAGAATGTGACTCCCACTTTCCCCATTTTTAAAAAGAAGCTTTAAGACAACAACTTGCTATGGGTCAAGTACCTAGGGCCTTATTTGAGGAAGCTGAGCATAGTGATGCTAGAAGATGCATATGAGTATGATTTTAGCCTCTTGATCTAGAACTGAACCAAGCTGTTGTGAATCTGGATATTATGTATAAAATAATTCCTGAAATGATTAGGAGAATACAAAGAAGTTCTCTCCAAGATTTGGTTCTGCACTTGGTTTAAGATCCAGTGGGACACATGAAGTACAGAAGTAAATTGGGGGGGGGTGGTGCAGTGAGGACTAGT